CTTTTTGGCTGTCCCTGGAACCACTACCAACCTCCAGTCAAAGATTTCCCAGTAATGAAAGGGTAAATGGTTTGGGTATCTAAGGTCTACCCCTCGGCTCTTTCGGATTCTGTGATTTCGTGAAGGAATTCTTGGTGATAGAGCTTGATACTTCCATGGAAAGAGAGGCTCTAGGATGCCTGGGCCAGCCTACGACAGAAAGTAAGTCCACACCAACACCAAATGGAGGCGAAAGACACTAACAATAAATATTTCACAAAGAAAAACAAAAAAAAAATTGTTTCATGCTGCTTCCAAAAGAGAACCCACAGCTCCAATCACTACTTCTCCAATTACAAATGGTTTTACAAGTAATCTGCTCGAGCTAATTGTATTAGCTTGGGCTATTCACAAATAGCACCGTTCACAGTATCATCACAGAGAACCTGAAATCAGATTAAACTAATTTAGCCAACGGAGGATGGAGAAAGAGAGGCCCAGGAGATAGTATTCATTTGATGGACACAGTTATCAGAAAAGAATGCTCGGTGAAAGCTAACTTCTTTAGGGTTTGGATTGGAAAGCACTCGTTCCTGTGACTAAATACACACACGTATCTGAGGAGCTTGGTCTGAAATATTAGCAGTCTCTCTGCACCAGAGATGTTAGTCCTTACCGCCCTCTCTGCCTTGGTTCTGTCAGGAAGCCACGGAGCACACATCCACAGTGCCTAGCTAACCATGTAATTGAGAACTCCCCGCTCTCTTCACTGTGGGAATCTGTCAGTTAAAGTCTAAGGATACATCCACGCTGCTATGAAAATGAACTTACACAAATCTGTCTGTGGATCAGGAGGGGCTGGGATGCAAGCCGACATTTTGCTACTTAATTGGCTGGGGCCAACTTAACAGTGCACGTGTGTGTTGGGGCGCGGGTGTGCTGTATTATATGACTCTTCCTGACAGACCTATTTAGTGAGGAGGAGGTGTTTTTTCCCCCTAGATAATTGCTCAAAATCACGCTTTCAAAGTCAGAGTGATTCAAACTTGCCTGTCTGTATTTTGCAAACACACTCGGAAGGAATGCAAATATATCCTATTTCTCATTCGATGCACAAGTTTGGTTTTTTTTTTTCTTTTTCCTTTCTTTCTCCCCTTCCTTGAGCAATGAAGGAGAAGGAATTCAAATACCCCAGAGTTCAGCCCATCCCCAGTGTAATTTACATGGACCAAATCTTTCAGAGAATGTTTTAACCCCAGTGCAAGCCCAGAAGCCTCTCTAGGAGCTATTGAAACAGACCCTGCCAGTCAAACAAAACACTGGGGCCCTAAATGTCCTCTTGCTAGGTAACTTGTCAGACATTAGTAAGCTTGAAAAGCATTGAGGATGGAGTCCTCCCTTGCTATGTCTTTGGCAATACACGCTAAGTTTTTAAACAGAATATTACGACACCTCAACATATCCTTCTACCCCCCTTTCCTTGTCTGACCCCTCTTACCCTAATCTACTGAGTCCAATTGATGCTGCCTGTTGGAATGTTGACTCATCTTGTTGGCTTCATCCTGTGCAGCTGATCACAGATGCTGAGCTCCTGAGTGCACTGGTCACGATGTGCCCAAAAGACAGCACTTCATATCACGTTCACATCTGGTTCTTACGTTCTTCCAAACCTTTCTCTCAGTTCACATACGAGTCATACTGCCCCTTTATCTTTGGAAACACTTGGGGAGGGGGGTGGTCTTCCTAGCAGAACAGGCCCTGTATTACCCAAAGCCACAGAATGTTTAAGAAAGGGGGTGCTCTTTTTATCCTTTGGTTGGCACCTGGCAGAGTGGATGGAGAAGAGGCTTTGAGATCAGTTCATCTTCACGTTTCCCCCCAAAAATGATCTCTCCCCCATAGGGCAGGAGCCACTTCTTATCTATGAAAAGAATGTTGTTATAGATTTACATGACACTCAGCATGGAAATCATCTGGACCATGTTAGCCTGCTTTGTCCCGGATTCCCATGACTGTGCTCTCAAGACCTCTGTTAGCATGTTGTTTTCTCCTGATATCGTCAAATATCCATGTAGAAATCCTAATGTGGTTGATGCAGACATTAGTAGGCACAGAAACACTCTAATAAGAGAGTTCCAAGTCAAGAAAGGGGCCATTGAAGGTGGCTGACACAGCCAGGTAACCATGATAACCCACATGTATTTTAGATGTCAGCAGAGTTCTGTAGGGACCTCAGAGTTAGGACTCAAACACCAAGACGCCGGAAGAAATTTAACGAAGATTCCATGGTCTAGAAAGTACTGTGGACTAACACCAGAAAACAGCCCCATGACAAAGAACTGCTTGGCCTAGATCTGTACATACAAGAAGCGAAATGCAGGGCCAATCCTAGGACTTTATGGGATTCTGTTTTGTTATTGAAGGAAACACAAAGGTCTGGATATGGGGTGGCCCTTGTATCTTGTTCACTGAGATCTGATCCTAGAGAACTAAAGAATTACATAATCCCTTACAAACCCTAGAGGAATTTCAAGACCATCCTAACCTACTCTTTCTTTTCAAATAGGGAAACTCAGTCCTGCAAAACATACATCTTCAAATAGCTACATTTTCGTAATTAAACCAAGTTTGTTGTTTTCTATGAAAGGTAAAAATAGGGAGATCTGACCTCTTTCTCGAGGTCAACTTTTAATGCTGGTATGAGATGTTAAGTGTGGTTCCTACAAAGGAACATCTGGCCGGCCAAGTCATCATCCCCACCAACAGTTGCCTGGGATAGAAGGGTTTTCTGTTGTCATTGTTTTTCATTTGTTTGTTTTTCACACCGTAATGACCAAATAAATAAACTACCAGTGTTTCAACTGTTGTTGGATTGCCAGACGGTCAATTTAACTAACCGAAGCACAACTAATTGTGCAAACGGAAGTCTGACTGTGTGTTGCTAGTACACGTGATATCTTACAGACTTTCTTAGAGACAAGAGAAGGGAAACCATTCCAGAGACATTGCTGGAGTAAAACTCAGTAGTGAAGAGTTTACTAGGAATAAAGAAATAAAAATTATGAAGGATGTGAGCCACGTGGCCTCAGCGTCTCATTCTAAAATGAAGCTACTGTGACCGAGCACAGTAATAAAGGTTTAACACTGTAGATGTAGGATGAACACCAGGGAAAGAGGAATTACCCCACAGTATCTCCTCCAGTTACCAAGCCTGTTTGGAACGCAATTCTTGTTTCCAGTTGGGACACTGAGTGCAAGTTCCCAGCATAAGAAAGGAAATCTCAGACCACTAGAGATCCCCAAAGGCTCTGGAATATCTTGGGTTTCAGATATGATGGCACACACGATTAGAGAATTACTGTCTAAAGCCTTTGAGGGTTTTGTTGTTGTTTTGTTCCATTTTGGGGTTTTTGTTGTTTGTTGTTCTTTTTATTTTGTTTTGTTTTGTTTTGTTTTTGTCAAGAATTTTTCCTTTCAGTCTCTCCCTTCCAGGCTGGGAAGATCCTGTGTAGACCCCACCACCACCACCACAGGAACCTCAGCCAATGCCAACTGATTTAAGGAGGAAAAGAATCCTCCTCTGCCGCTAACACAGTTCTGTACTAAAGCTGGCAGAGACCCCCTGTCTTAGCATCCAAGCACCTCAAAAGAAGAGTGTCCCCAGCCACCTGCCCTGGAAGAGACATATGTTCTTAACTTGTCGTTGATAGTGGTATGCTACTAACAGTAGTTTTTATTTAGACGCAAACCAATGCCCAACTAATATGACAGGAAAAGAAAAAGACTCAAAATGAGCGAGCAAATGAATCCCATGCAGAGGGTGTTGCTGGGAACGAGAATGGTTTGTTTCACTTCTGTTTTCTCTTTTGTCTACCAGATGCTCCACAGTGACAACCACTCTTTTCTAATGCAAGGAGGCTCCATGCTTAGAGGAAAAAGCAGAGTATCACTGTTGGAAGAAGAGGGTATGGAAGCTGCTCTAAGAAAAGTGAATGAAGCAAAGGCCCTTGTGAGAACACAGTGGCAAACTAAGGCAAGGGGCAGGTTTCTGGAGCTGATTCCTACCCACATTCTGCCTTTTGCTTTGCTTGGGGGCTGGGGCAGAAATAGTGGAGACCCAAGAAGTTCTGAGGTCATTACTAACCAGGCAAATCAATGCCATCTGGAGGAATGTGGGGTTTTCAGAGAATCCTAAACGGATGCTACTTCGCCAAGGGAGGGCACATAGATTTCAGAGCCTGCACCATTTTCTCCTTTGCCCTCCTCTGCCTTCAGATCTCTAGTTCTTGAACTCCTGGGTTAGACTGTATCTTGTGGGGGGAGTGGGGTTTCAAACAAACACTAGTCTCAGAAACCTGTAAAGGGATAGAGTCAAGGAAGGACACAGAGCAGCTTCCTAGAACTGCGTGGAGGCGGCACAGATAGCGCCATCGACAAGAACATGAGTCTTAGGTGACACCTGACTATCTCTGGTCAGATGATATTTCTCCAATGGGCTGACATGCTAGATAAAAGAAAAAAAACAATAAAGCAAGCAGAAAAGAAGGACAGCTGTCAGCCAAGCACTTGGTTTTTGGTTGTGCAGAGGTCCTGGGCAGGGGTGGAAGCGACCACACCTCTCAGATGATTCAACCTGCTGCTCTTCTTCATTTTCCATTTGAACCAAGCATAATGGAGACCTAGTAAGACTGGTCCCATGGCGGGCAGCATCTGAAATAGTATTTCTAGTAGAAAGACCTAGTGTAAGCAAGACCAAGTATTATCTGTTAAAATCAGGTATTTTTTATTTCTGCTGTTTGGTTTTGGCATCACATTAATCCAAAGACCCATCTCCTCTTCTTTGGTACAGATGCTGAAGCTTAGAAATGGGTAGCCAGGCTGCTTCCAGGTTGAAACTCCACGAAGGAGACCCGGATGGAACTAGAGCCAAGTTAATGCTTCTTTTCCGCATTCCACGCCATGCCTCTCCTGCCTTGTTTACTGGGTCCCTTCAGACATGGCTTTCTCGGTCGTCCCCTCAGGCTCCACCATAGTGTGCTGGGTGGCTCCATTAGTCACACAGCCACACACGTCACACGCTCCAGATCTGAGATTCTGACTGCACAACCCGAGTGCTAGGAGTGGGTGAGGACCCAGGGTACCAACGAGCAAAGTTTGCCGCTTTGGTTCTCATTTCAAAACTACTTGAAAATGAAGAACAGAAAGAGGTAGGTGTGTTTCAGAGATTCTGTTAAGATTAAAGGGTACACGGAGTTTTGCAAGGACAAAAGCCGATATTCACTCGTCCGTTCAGTCATCCGCTCACAGGTCCGTTTCTTCACCCGAGGGAAAAAAATAACTACTGACTTTCTACACTGTGCCAAGAAGGGGGTGGGCATGCAAGAGTGTACAATGAAGAGGTGATGTTAAGGCCACACAAATGGAATAATACAGTTTTTAATGTTCCAGGACCTGAGGTGGGGGGGGGACACTAACCAAATCTACCGGGGGAAGGTTCTGGCATCCTGACAAAGGGGCTTCACAAGATTTCCAAGCACTGTGGGGTAACGGGCAGGAGGGTGCCAGTGCTGGGATGGGGTGCTCAGGCAGAGGGTTGGGGGATAGATCATATATAGCAGCTGGCAAAGTTGAAAGAGAACACTGGGTCCTAAGACCAAGGGTTCCACAGGGCCTGAGGGTCCAAAAGTCATATCTGTTCTCCATGAGTGCCAGGCGGTTTTATGGCAGAAGCCAGCGCTATATCCCCCAGCTTCCAAGTTCAGTTGGCTCCCTGCTGTCTGCATAGAAAGCCCTTATTTGGGGTACGCATTTTACTTCTAGAGCCATCAATATCGGCTTTCAGCAAGTGTGGACAAACAACTGCACCCCTATAATTTATAAGGCATAGACACAGACATGAAGCTAGGGCATAAAGAGAAGAGATGCCAGGCATACCTGCAACATCCTCATGTCCTGGGTGGCGTCAAGCAAGGGAATCGTGTGTATAAGGCTCCTGGGTGCAGGAGGCAACAACACACGAGAGTTTGGGGAACACTCCATGTTAGAGGCCCTTTATCAGAGCATCCCCTGACATGGGCCTGATCCTTTGTTGAGAGAAATTGTTCTGTGTGTTAGAGGATGTGCCCTAGATGCCAGGAGCACCTCAGTCCCCCTGCTCCATTCCAGAGCTGTGACCATCCAAAATGTCTTCAGGTTTGGCTAAATGTCCTCTGAGGGTGGGTGGAAGGAAACAAAATGGACTCCATTTGAGCACCTATGGTCAGAGCATTCACAGTTAGGAGGTTTAAAGACATTGGTTTTTCAGTGGGTGCAGTGTCTGGCAGCCACACCTTTCAGGTATGTGTGTGTGAATGTATGTATGTGTGAGAGAGTGAGAGAGAGAGAGAGAGTGTGTGTGTGTGTGTGTGTGTGAGAGAGAGAGAGAGAGAGAGAGAGAGAGAGAGAGAGAGAGAGAAAGAGAGAGAGAGAGAGGCATGCTCGTGCACATGTGTGTGGGGTGGAAGCGAATGCCCATGAACAGGCATGCAAGAGGACAGAGGGGTAATCAGGTGTCCTCTCTGTCACCCTCCGTTTTATCCCCTTGAGACTGGTTCTCTCACTAAATGTGAGATACAAATGGTTCCTCACTTTTTCCGGTGAACTGGAAGACCAGTAGGTCCCAGCGATCCTCCTGCCTCTGCCTTCCCAGCGCACTGGCCTTATCTGGCTTTGAAGTGGGTGCTGGGAATCCCAACTCACAACGTCGTGCTAGCAAAGCACACCCTCTTACCCACTGAATTACTTTCCAAGCCTATCAGATTTAGCCTGGAATAGGAACAAGGAACCACAGAGGCAGCGGTCCCACAGTGCCACTGTGAGAGGCCTGATCACACTCAGTAAAGGTCTCTCCGAAAAGGGGAAGGCCTTTGAGTGTCCGTTCCACAAACCTACCCAGCTCTGTGTGGCTACAGGGGTCTCGGGAATTTCAGGGAGTTGCTGATAGAACCTGACTGATAAGCGTCAGATAGAAGTCGCTAATAGAAGCTTCCCAGGGGCCTTGGGCGGAAGAGCTGCCAGGACAGTAAATTGCCTCTGCTTCCAAGATCTGAATCTCACAATCTAAATACCCCGTCCTGAAGAGGGAAGAGTGTGGGAAGCTATATCACAGCCCAGATACAGGCTGGCGTCGGATCATGTGCTAGATTACACACCATATTTTCTCCCCACAGAACACTGGGCCCAACTCTTTGGGCTGGACTGTCACCACCTCACCACAGGCCCTAAAGTCCAGTAATAGCTAAGCTTGCTCTAAACAAAACGCAAAGCAAACTGTTAATGAACTCCGTGTGCATCACAGAGTGTTATTTATACATATACGGAGAGGGGGAGTTTATCTTGGCTTATGATTTTCCCTGCTATGGGGTCACTACATCATCCTCAATCTGATTCTGGAAAAAGAGGTTACACATTCAAGTGGAGCCAGCTTCTGAGGACCCCTCCCCCCACACACACACACACTGTCCTAAGACTCTGCAGAAGCTGGTGTCTGTGAGGGAAAGGGAAGACAAGATAGAGACCGCAAGGAAGGGGACAAAGGGATGCAGAACTAGAGAATCTGTTCTGTTGGCCGAGTGCTTGTCTACCGTACAGAGCCCTGGAGCCGGCCATTCCAGTGATCCCAGCGATCCTGAGCTGGGGTGTGTGTGGGGGGGGAGATGGACAGCAGGACACTGTCACAGAATGGGGAATGGGGGGACAGAAAGCACTTCCCATGCTTCCTCTTTCCCCACCCATCAACTGTTACAGTTGCCTGAAGAAAGCGGCAGACACTCCAATGACATTTCAGAGTTCCTTTTGAGTTTGTTCATTATTCCCTGGCTCTGTAGCTTTGTTTTTGTTTTGTTTCGCTTTTTTTTTTCCCTTCAAAAGTGAGGCTACTTCTAGAAGAATTCTAAAAGAATTCTTCCCTTTATCGCCTAGCCCTGGTCTACCCAGCTGCTTCCACCAGGGAAAGCCGACACCAAACGCCACCCTGACAGCCAGACTTTCTGCACAGCGGCTTAATTACTCATTATGAGATCCCATCAACAGGAGCTCCGGTCTGTGGTTTTGTAATAGGGCTGTTATCTTTCCTAAGACTTTCAACTCCTTCACTAAGGGACTGTGGCAGAGATGTCCGCCGCCGCCACCCCACTTTCCGCGTTCAGAAGAGAGCGAAGGGATTTTAATGCGTGAATCTGATGCCATTAACAATGCTGACAGCTGTTTAATCCCAGTAGAAATAACAGCTGAGTCCCAACTGCAGGGGAAATAATTAACTCTTCGGTGGGTTCGGAGGGAGAGATCTTACGAATCAATTACGGGACTCCGTCCTTACCTGTGGTTTTTGTCAATTATTCGGGGAAACTCGGTGGCTAATAAAATGACGGGAGGCCCTTGAAGGCAAAGTGACTTGTTAAGTCCGGCGAACAGATTTATTAAATGGGCCTGTTCGAAGTTCACCATTAATTAAACTAAAGAACCATATTTTTTTTTCCTCTAGGTTTTCCCTGAATCGTAAGGCAAAAAGAACGAAAGGATAAAGTGAGAGACGTTGGTGACCCACAGGCTGGGAGGAGGGCTGAGCTGGGAGGGAAAGAGAAAAACAGGCTATGTAGCCGAAACAGAAACACATGTCAGCGTGTTCCGTTCTGACACGTGCCATTTAATGTAGATTAACCATGTAGACACCTGCCGACAACACTCAGTCTGTTAGCTCCGGAATGATGAGCAGCCAGTCCCTCTTCGGGGTTCAGGTTCCCTTGCCCGCCCGCCCCCCAGTCCGCTGACATCCTTCCGGTGAGTATTGCTTTTAACGTCTAAAATATTACAGATATAAATATGCCTGATTACGACCCGGCTTGGAAATACGCGGCACTCACTTAGCGCCTCACAGATAATAAAGCTCTCCTGGATCCTCTCCCCGCTCATTTACAATGTGAGACTCCCAGCAGATGTCTTAAGCATCCAACGGTACAAACAGCAACATTACATGCATTTAAATTTGGCTCTTTGTCTGAATGCCCCTCTCCCTGGCGCAGCAGCTGATGACCCCTGGGGACCTGCGTTTCATCTGGAAATGACACGGCTTTGCCACGGGACTTGGCTTTGCGTGGGGGACAAGGACTTGTTCTCTCCAGAGAGGTCTGAGGGCTGCTGGCTGGGGAGCAGGGTGATAAGAAGAAACCTTTCTCAGTTACACGGACTGGTGGCTGGAGACGGTTCCCTGTCCACAGCAGGTGAGCCCTGGGGGAGCTCCATGCAGCATCTGCTGCGCCTGCGCCATCATCCCCATTGTACTGATGGGAAAACTGGGGTCCTGAGAGGAGAAACGGGCTGCCTGTTTCTTGCCAGTGTTCTATTGAAAGGCAATTCAGTAAATATGCCTGTAAAATCATTGGCTAAGCTTCTGGATCTAAACTCACAGTAGAGGACTAACATGCGATGCCTGAACTTGACACAAAGAATTCCCAGGAACATTCTATGGAGCTTGGGTTCACTCAATATCTTTTTTTTTTCTTCAAGGAATCATTTACTCCATTTGGCATGGGGACTTGGGATGATTAATTTTCACGGCCAACTTGAATCTAGAATCACCTGGAATCACCCAGAAGTGCGTCTACAGGGATCGCTTCCAGAGCGGTTTAAAGGAAAACCCATCCTGAGTGTCAGCAACACCATCTGATGGGCTAGGATCCAACATCGAATGGAAAGACTAGCAAGGAGCACCATCATCAACCCTTACTTACTGGGACACAAAGGGACCCCAAGCCTCACGCTTCTTCACTCCATGCTTTCCCTGCCAGGAAGACATGCTTGTATCCTCAAACAAGAAACCCTCTTCCCTTAAGTTGCTTCTGCCAATTAGTTTGCCACAGCAACACATAAAGTAACTCATACATGACATGCGCACAGGGCGCTCTTCCCTTCTCGTGTTCATGGAGTCATGGCCTGGCCACATCGTTATCCTTCCTCTTGCCCACACCAATTGGCTTCCGGGTGACATACTGGCCTCCTGCTGGGCAAGAAGTCAACTTTGATTTTGGACTATGAAGTACCTAAGGAATAGTCTAGAAATTGCCATGAGAACTAATACCCAAACCACTAGGAATTTCTGACTCCCTGTTTCCCACATGGTGGAAGGAGAGAATTGACTCCCCCAGGTGCCCCTCTAACTTCTCCGCAAATTTGCTGTGACACTCATGTGCACACTCCATGTACACACGCGCATACACACTAAATAAAAACAAATAAATAAGCAAATAAATAAATAAATAAAACTAAAAAGTTAAAATAGGGGAAAGGACTGGGTAGTTCAATTTCTTTTCTCTCTTTTTTCTTCTTTTAATTTTTATTGATTCTTTGTGGATTTCACGTCATGCATTCTGAACCCATTTATCTCCCTGTCCCCCCCAAATCTGCCCTCTGCCCTTCAACATCCCCCTCCAACAAAACTAAATTTAAAAGAAGACAACGAAAACAAACCAAAGAGACAAAAACCAAAACAAACAAACACGAGATGAAGAATCTTGCCGTGAAAGCCGTCGTGTGGCCCGTTGAGACACACAGTTTCCCTTTTAGTTGGGTCAGCTTGACTCACAAGCCTTCATTGCCTTCACCCACAAAGGGGTTATGTGACAAACATCCCAAGTCCCTTCTTATGGTAATCCTGCGCTCTGCAAATGGCTCAGATCCAATCCAATTGAACATAATAAAACGAAACAATCTGGGCGCGATCTCTGATAGCTTTCGTCTTCACCATACTAATGATTTCAAAGTCAATGAGCAGAGCTGGGAAAAGGAGGACGACAGGGAGGAAGGCATGCAGGATGTACGCGCTCTGCCTGACTGGTCATCAGCTTCTGCAGCTGGGGTCCTGCGCCTGCTGCGGGCTCCCTGCACTTGTCCACGGGGCCTTAAGAAAAGGTGGCCCTATGGCTTTGGTGGTAGACTTTACACAGGAAATTAAGACTGGCTGACGATGCCCATATGCATGTGAACTATGACACGGAGCGGAATCCCAGAAGACTGGTCTGTGACATCGGCGAGGGCTTGCTGGGGAACTGTTTGGTCACATCTAGGACCTAACCTCCCTATGGATTAGCTACGAGGACTTCTGCCCATCTGCTCTTCGTGTCCAGAACATGTTATTCCTGTCTGGGGTTGGAGGTCATCACACCCTAGACTTGAGAAGGCTAGGAGAATGGTTTGCAGCTAGTCTGGAAATCGCCTCCTCCTACATTCATTTGTTCATTCGTTCTTCCTGCACACTGATCCTGCCCTACAGGTCAGGTACGAGGGCTAAGAGTAGAAAGGAAGAGCTAAGTAAGACCCACACTTTGATCTTAGAGAACTCAGGAGAGTAGGAGGAAGGGCCCACAGTCAACAAATTTACATTTAAGGTCTTAGACTGCGTGCTAAGTAAAAAGTGAGAGCCGAGAACTGAAGCAGGCTGAGGAGAGAAGGTTCTAGATCACCAGACTTCCTCCTCCTCTCAAGCTAGGTGTCTGCAACATGGCTTCTCGCAGAACTCCTACCAAGCCACCCTTCCCTCTTTTACAAAGCTCACAGCTGGGGGCCTCTTGACCAGCTCCTAACTGAGCCTGGTGACCCTTCATGAGATGGAAACCCGATCTTCAGGGTGACTCTAGTTCTGACTTTTTCCCCCCTATTCAGTTGACTCTGGAAGTCTGGATGACATGGGGGAGGGACCACAGTCATTACCTATCAGTTGCCTTTGAAAGCCTGGCTGGGGAAGGGAAGGGGGAGGATGGACAGCACCCATCACCAGCTCAGAGCTGCGTGAGTTCAGGTGGAGCAGAACTTGGGACACGGACTGAACTCTTTCCTTCCAAATACCTTGAGGCACTGATGGGCCCCCTGGAGACACAGGTGAACAGGAGAAAACAAGCTGAACCATTTACCACACACCTCAGGGGCTGGTGAATCACGGTGGGGGAAGCGCTTAGAAGAGGAGGACGAAAACAGAAGATTCGGAAGGAAGGGTGTGAGTGGCTGGTGCGGTCCACAGACCTTCTGGTGACAATAATGACAGTTAATGATTTTTTTTTAAAATTTATATGCTAGATAATGAGTATTCAGTCTATACCAGACCCACTCTGCAGATTGGACATCTGGAAATTTATACTATCCCCCAAATAATTCCATGATGGGGGCCCCTTCGTTTTCTCTGCATAACAGGTTCAGAAGCTGAGGTGCAGAGCAGTTAATGTCCACAAGGGCAAGCAAGAGGCTCACAGAGTCTGAACCCAGAAAGACATTTTCCATGAAAAGAACCCTGCAACGACATAAGGTCCTTTGACAAGTTTAGCCTCTTTTACTCCATATTCCAAGTTTTGAAAACCTGATTTTGGGAAATAATGAAAGAGTATATATTTATCTTGGCACGTTTGCTTAGCCTTATTTTAGTAAAATCAAAGACAGAAGTAAAGTAAATTTTCAATAAAAATGGAATAGTTAAACAAACAAACAAACAAAAACTAGACATAGAGAAGTCTGTAGAGATGGTTCGGGAGTTAAGTATACTGACTGCTTGCAGAGGGCCCAGGTTCCGTCCCCAGCTCCCACAGGGCGCTCACAACCATCTGTAGCTCTAGTTACAGAGGATCTGCCTCCCTCTGCTGGCAGCTAGTGAGAGCTGCGGACACGTGGAGCACAAACACACGTGCTGACAAAATACCCGTACATACAGAGCAAAAATAAACCAATCTTAAAAACAAAGAATAAAGCCAAAAACAAACAAAAAAAAATAGGCCGAGTACATGATATTGAGGTGTAGCCTATAGCCTCAGCCATTCCAGAGTCTGAGGCAGGAGGATTTGAAATTCTAGGCCAACTTGATCTCCGCAGTTAGACTCTGTCTCTGAATAAAGAGAAAAAGTTCAGAGATGCAGCTCAGTGGTAGAGCCATTGCTTGGACTATGTAAGGCCTTGGGTTCCTATCCCAGTACTTCAAGAAATAAACAACAAAAATATACCACAAAGAAAAGAATAGGGAATAGCCATCACAAAAAATGAACCTCACACCAGGTGTGGTGGCTTATACCTCCAATCCCAGCTCTTGGAAGGCTGAGGCAGGGAGACCGCTATGATTTTGAGGACAGCCTAGGCCACATAGTAAGTTTCAGTCCAGTTTGAGCTGCAGAGGCTGACTCTGCCTATAAATAAATAAATAAACAAACAAAAACAAATAAACAAGGGTTGGAGAGATGACTCAGCAGGTAAAGACACTTGCTTTCAAGCCTGAGGACCCGAGTTCCAGTTCCTGGACGCTAGTGGCGCAGGCCTTTAATCCCAGCACTTGGGAGGCAAAGACAGGCGAGTCTCTGTGAGTTTGAGGCCAGCTTGGTCTACAAGAGCTAGTTTTAGGACAGGCTCCAAAGCTATAGAGAAATTCTGTCTTGAAAAAAAAAAAAAAAAGAAAGAAAACGTGCCATGACCCCTCCCAATAAATAAATAAAATAAATAAACAAACAAAACAAGGTAACTCATGAACTATCAATAATATCACAAAGTATTATCGTGTAAGAGTGAAAAACAAAATAGAAATTTCTATAGAGTAAAATTCAAGTATGTTTAGATACCAGGTTCAGGATGCATTATGGAAAACTACGGAAAATAAAAAGAAGCATCAGTGGACATTTTCCATTTGGTTCTAGTCCATGTAACCATGAGCAATTTACTTTGGGGTATGCCTGTGTTTTCTCCTAGTCCACAGTCTCTTAACACAGGGCCTCAAGAAAACTCAACTGGTTCTGCTTTTTCTTCTGAATCATTTTCTGCACATGGAAAAAATAAGTTCTCTTTGTGGGTTTAAGGTCTCAGTTAAGCAGATAATGCCGGGGGTTTTGGCTCACGGAGAAGAAGAGAAGGCAAGTGTGAAAGCGTTCGGTTCTCCGGCCTAATCACACAGCGTATCCACCCAGAGTGGATGAGGCAGGCAGATCTCCCTGCAGAGAACTTCTCCATACCTGTTTTCGGGCTCAGCGCCCAAGAACCGCTCCTCCCTCCTCCAGCACTGTTTTATAGAGCAATCTGACTCCAAATTAGATCACCGGCTTCATCCGATCGTTATAGTGTTAATCTAGGGACTGCTTCTATGCCCACAATAGCACCAAACAAATAATAAGGTCCCAGACAGAACGTTAGTGATCAAGGAAACAGGAACAGGGCCCCTGTTTGTAGAGTGAGCTGCTGAACTAGGGTGACATCACAGTGGGACCAGGACGATGCCTCAACAGAGACACAGAAACACACAGCAGCACTGGAGGGAGCAGCATGGCTTGTTCCATGGACAGCAGCAGCCTAAGAGTCTTTCGCCGGAAAACATAGACCGTAAACCTGAATGGGCAGGTATTTTACTAGGCATTGTAAAATCCAGTCAGTGATCAACAGTAATTTAAACATTTTTTACTTATTATTACTGGGGGGGGAGGTGTAAATGCAGGCACATGCACATGCATGTCACAGCGCAAGTATGGGGGTCAAAGAACAACTTTCAGTAGTCTGTTCTCCCCTTCCACCTTAGAATCTGGAAATCAATCAAACTGGGATTGTCAGGCTAGCTCAGCAAGCGGTATGCCCAGTGAGCCATCTGGAGGGCCCATCAGCAGGGATTTTTAAAGCACTGTTATAATCGTCTTTGTGTTACTGGTGCGTCATCTTGAGGCTCCAACTACTAAGAGGCAAAGAGGAAACTGGCAAGGAAGACCCAAATGACAGCCAGTTCAGGGGACCCCCATGAGGGTGACTGGCTTTGGAAAAACATCCACCACTTACGGCTGATTCAAGTTCCCTAAGAACTTCAGCAAATCGACTCCTTTGAGGCTAAGCTTCTGCATCTTAAAACACAAGCGACAACACATACATATGAATTTGATACTTAGTGCAATGCCTGGTACAACAACCAGACTCAATACACATTGGCTCTTAATAGAGTTAACATTACGTCACTGAAATTATTGGGGGAAAGGGCACATCCTAGCACAACCACCATAGGCAAAGTCCTGACTCTGGGTCAATAGTGCAATCACGATCTGCCTGCTTTAGGGTTTAAAAGAGAAGCGACTATTGTCTGCAATGGACTGGGAGAGGAAGGTGGATTGATGGGCAGGTAGAGGGATGGATAAGCGGGCAGAGAGGCAGGTAGAGAGAAGCATCATTTACAGAATGTAGGTGGTGCAGGTGTAATATATAGGGCTTTCAACTTGTGTGTATGAGTGAAGTATTTCACGGTAACAGACTGTTGGGAGAATGGCATACTACATGGCAAT